GTTTCTTGTTGTTTCTTGTTGTTTCTTGTTTTTGATCAATGACTTCTAAGCTTGTTTAAATACTCATTCAATTGATTCTGAACGTTGGGGATGATTAGTGGAGTTAATAGAGCCGTTTAAGTGTGAAAACAATTAATAAAATCAGTTGGGAGTGTCAGTGTATCGGTGCATACACAATGTGCATCGGTGCATCAAGTGTAAAATTCAAATATTTTGACCGTTGGAACACTTAGTGCATCGGTGCACTAAGTGTGCATTGATGCATAGAATGCATTCGATGTTTCAAAATAGCCTGAGCACATCGATGTATGTCTTGTGCATCGATGCATCAAATGCATTCGATGTTTTCATAAAACCCTGAGTGCATCGATGCATGGTATGTGCATCGATGCATAAAATGCACTCGATGTTCAATTTATTCAATGGTGCATAGATACATGGATTGGTGCATCGGTGCATCCCTTTGAAAAATTGATTTTAGCCTTGATTTTGGTTCAAAATACTTTGTGAAAATTGTTTCAAAAATATATTAATTATAAAACACAATTTTACACATTTAATAAGGTTTGAAATCGATCTTAAAAGACTTTGAGTAATAATTTGATATTCGATTAATTAAATCGAATATACTTATAAAAATATTTTGTAAAATCTTAAAATTCATTTATACTTGGTTTGTTATATCGAAACATCAAATGTTTTCAACATAATGTCTATTTGTCTGTCTCAGTTTTCAAATGTGTGTTTTTTCCTTTACATACTTTACATGCATCATGGCTTGGAACTGTACTGGCCTGATCTAAAATGAGGCTGCAAAATCTTCTGTAGAATAGGAACTTTTTGTGGGAAACCGTTCTGCTCTCAAGTGGTTACCTTTCTTATCATTGTTATATTTTTTCCTCAATTTGTTTTGTACTTTTCAGGCTTTGTTGCCCGCTATCCTTTAAAGTTCAAAATCTTAGAAGGTAATTTCAATTTACTTGCTCTTTTTCCGGTTTAATATCTGGTTTCAGTGTATGTGTCCTTAATTGGGAACAGTTGCTAAATCTTCACTTGAGACTTAAGTTTGACGTGAGTGAAACTTTTGTGAAAGTAAAAAGACTAGATTCACTTCTTTTAAACAATTGCATGAGCGCAGGAACTATTCTTACTTAACCTGTCAGGGAAAGTAGAACTTTTTTGTGGTGTATCTCAATTAAAGTCTGTTTTTGACATTGAAAAATTATATTTTCTAACATTTGTTGGTGCAGGTGTATTTCTATGAATTCGTATTTCATATTTTCCATGCTTCAGGTGCGCGAGAGTACATTTTCTCCACTATTTTACACTTTGAAGAGGTGAGGTAATTTCGAAGAGAACATGCTCAAAATGCTATAATTATTAATTGTTCTGCAGGCATTTGAACCTCCTTTAGATATTAGCCAGGATGTGGATGGTTGTGAGGATCCACACCCAGAAAACATTGAACATGAACATTGCAATTCTGAGGAGAGAAATGCATCCTCTTGTTGTTCTGCATCAACCAGTGGAAGAATGTGTTGTTCCAACCATGCTCAAGCTTGTTCTCGGGAAAGAAGCTGTGCCTGACCAATCCACAGCACAGGTGACCATTCACAGGGCCTTTTGAAATATATTTATAGTATAATAAGTATCAAAATTCCACCACTGGATTGGTTATTTATTTTTTCGTTTAGAAATTTGACTTTTGTAGATAGCTGCAGGAGGTGCAAAGTGAACATCAACATGTGCCCATCTCTGGAAGCAGTGCTGGAGAAGTGGAAAATAACAAAGACATATCTGCATGTTGTGGAAATGATGTCATCGATAGCAATGGGAATGTAATACTTCTTTATTCTTTACATGCTGTTTATCTTAAGCCAAGAAAAATGAAATGTTGGATGTTGGCATGATGAAAATTTAGTTTTGCATTGTAAAATGTGCTTAAATATCACAAGTTAGTAAATTAGGTGTGGCATTTTTACCAAAAATAAGAAAATTAGGGGTGCAGCTTCTGATATATCATATTTATTCTGCAACCCTGCATGTGGCGCAATTATTTGGTGCACAATTCCCTATTCTAATTGTAGCATTTATCTCTCCCCTACCCCAGTACAAGACAAAATATTGTTTTACCCTGATTTTTATAGTTATATTTCTATATTATTTAGGACTAGGGAAATTTATGTGTTTTTCTATCTACATCCTCATCCCCTCCTCTCTTTTTTATTATATTCCAAGATGTGTATAAACTTGGTGAACTAGTTCTTGTCTGGAGTAGTTACTGTCTGTTTGATCAAAATATATTTATCAATGCATACAAGTACTCCTACTGACACAACTTTGGACATTTAGGAAGTTTCCCTTTCTAGAGGGACATAAATATTTAATAAAATAGAATTTCTTAACCACCATTTGGACCAAGATGACGCTAGATATATGAGAGTTATATGGGCTGCATTGGCATCTTATGAAAAGATGTCTATCTCTTTTTTCTAATGCTATTCCCTATCATTCTCTTGTGTTTTTGCCAATGTTAGTTGGAAATTTTCGGAACAAGTGATTCTGCAATGCTGCTGTATTTGAAGAAGAGAGAAAGACTGATATTTGACTTCTTCCAGATCTTGTATTGGCTAATTTAGAAACAAGCATTTCGTGCCTTTCTTTGACATCAATGCTTCTAATTTGTTAAGTGTGATATTCAACTATTTTCTTGCCATTCTATCCGAACTATCACTGTCTATCTTGTTTTAAATTCAGATGTTTTCATCTCCACATGACTGGTTGGATCCATCGTTGCAGTTGAATGTTCCATTGGTTGATGTTGACAAGGTTTGTTGGTGTTCCTGCTGTTAAGTGTGTTGAATTGAATTGTTTGTCCTAAGAATTTTTATGCAGTCTCTAGTACATCCGTTTGTTTTATCTCTTAAAACATTGTGCTAATGTCATATAAGATACTCTTTTTCTAACTTGCACTTTGCTGCCATGGTTAGAAATTTGGTTTGGAATTTTTGACATGAAGTATGTTTAGTTGTTAAACTTACTGTATTTATGCAAAAAAAAGTTTCATAAATTCATAATGCATGTCTACTTTTTTTTCTTCAGGTCCGTTGCATAATAAGAAATATAGTTAGAGACTGGGCAGCAGAGGTATTACTTTTTATATGTTATTTTAATTGATTATCAAGTTTGGAGTTGGTTTGGATGATTCAGTGCAAACTGTTCCTTCTTGTATGGTTCTTTCGGTACATGTGGAATTATTACTTTATTAGGGAATGAAAGAACGTGATCAGTGCTATAAGCCCATTCTTGAAGAACTTGATGCTTTATTTCCCAATCGATGCAAAGAGAGGTCAAATCTTTAACTTTTTACTTTGGACTTTGTCTCTTCATACACTGCAAAAATTCATACTTCTTTCCTGTCTAATGATTGTTGTGATACAGTGATAGCATTATTTTCAATTTTGGTATGAAAATGCATTTTTCCCTCCGAGTCTAGCAAACCATTAATATTGTTTTAATTTTGGGAGTAGCACCTTATAGGCAGCAAGCTTCCTGGTTGTATAAGAATGCAATAACTGATGAGAAATCCAGATATTTTTCTGTATTTGTGTTTTGTGGCATGTGATTGTACATGTGATTGCATTCTGTTTTACTAGTATAGTAAAACAATATATTTTGTTTTACAGCCCTCCTGCATGTTTAGTTCCTGTGCTGGACTTGGGCGGCTTGCCTAGAGATTTCATGCCTTGGTATGTATTTTATGTCAAACTGTTACTTCTTGACTTGAAGGAGACTACTATGTCTTTTAAAATTTCTTATTTTATAAAACAGGTTTCATAAGTCAAGGAAACGAATTTTCATACTACACGATGATATGTTCAAGTTTTATTCTTAATCAGTAAGAACTTTCCATCTATGCATACTAAATTTCTTGAAACAAATGGAGATTCTACTACTATATCCTTTCTTTCTCCAAGGGGTATAGAATTTATTTTTTCTATTCATTCCCAGTACTGAGACAACTGGACAATGGACAATATATCCTTGGATCCACAGCAATTGCAATTCACGTTCAGACAATGATCAACTTCGTCCCGTTTCGATACAGATATTCTTCCAGCAAGGTATTAAACCACTGATTGTTTCTATGAAGCCTTTACAAGTTTATGTTTTCTACTTTGTCTTGAAATGTTCTGTGCAATATGCCTTCTAAGTCTACTCCGGTGCTTAGGAGAAGCTTTTCTGCAATGACGATCAATCGTAATTAACTTTTAGTTTTATTCTTTATAAACTCCTAGACCTTAGTGATGGAAAATGGCCTTAAAAATTATGTTGATTCAATAAATGGTCTATATTTCATATTATTTATGTGAATTGCTTAGTTGCCGTTTGCTTTTCTGGTTGCTGGCAGTGTGGGGTTACTGAAGGATTTTCTATGTGTGGTGGGGATTTTGTTGAAGTCTATAACGATTCCAGCCAGATCGGTAAAACTACTAGCACTTTTTATGCCTATGAATCCTTTCCACATGACCACATGTTCTCTGCGTATTGCGATTTTTGTCTATTGAATAAGAATGTTGTAATATACGACACTTATTCATTAATAATTCATCCAGTGATGGAACATAGTCACTAATCCTTCAGTGGAGGAGGTTTTTGTGTTGGCTACAATACATTGCACTCTTGGAGTGTATTTTGTAAAGTTGTCAGCTTATGTATATACATTATACATACACTCACTCTAGATGTACTGTATATGTTTACCTGATTGTAAAACCTTATGGATATATGAGCTGTCTTCAGGAGTCTGGGATGCTGTAGTGACTTGTTTCTTTATTGACACGGCACACAACATCATTGAGTACATTGAAATCATATCCAGAATTTGAAGGAGGGCGGGTGAGTTACCCTTAACTCTCTTTTTCAGTTTCCTTAGTTTAGTCATTTTATTTCACATCGCTTTGAGCTGGTTTAAAGTTATAACAATCGGTTCGATGGCAGGTTTGGATAAACTTGGACCTCTGCTGTATCACTTTGCAGACATGTACGGTCAGGAAGAGTAAGTTGTATTATGAACACTTCTATGCCAAAACACTATTGCCTATTGGTTGATCTTAATGTTGATCCACTCACCCCAGTTATGGGTGTAATTGAGCCAAACCTAAGCAGTAAGAAGCTTGAATTGAGGTTGACTTGACATTCGACATCTGGCTTGAGTTTGATTTCAGATTAATCAAACTTGAGCATGTTCATTGGTTCATTGTCTTAAACATGAGCTTGATTCTCATGCCCTGCCTCAAACTTGATATTGTGCACAATATGAGCAAAAATTGAGACTTTTATCACTAATTAAACTAAAGTATGCAATAAAAAAGCCCAATTAGGCTTGTGAGCCACTCGGGCTGTGGACTTTTGGATACTTAAACTTGGTGACTACTACTTGTCTTCCTCGCTTACCTTTTTTCTCTCCTTTTCCGCCTTTAGGAGATGTCTATTGAATTGAGTTTGGAAGATGTAAAGAAGACTGCTTTGATTATGGTTGAGTTAGAGGTAACTTTGTACACACTTTTTGTTCTTATTTGTTGTACCTTAAAGATTTGTCTGATTAATTTTTGTCAATCTGGAATGACTGTGATTTATACTATACATTCTCATGACTGCAGAAAGAACAAACCGTGGAGACAACCTATACTACTAATCCTCGATCCTGATGCAAGTAAGTTTTTAATCTTGGCTCTCTGTTAAATTCCATTTCTGTCATGCTTTATCTTGTTAAATCTTAAATGGAAATGATGCTCTTCTTCTATAGTGATCTCCAAAACGGGTATAAATGTCATAATCTTCTTGTAATGAAACATCAAAGCTTTAATATTCATAATCAACTATTCATCAATTCCTGTTTGCCAATGCTTGCATGTGCTTCAGTCGATTATGTCGACAAAGACACCAAGAGCACTGAACCCGAGTTTTGCACTTATAGCTGTCTCAGATAATGTTATTGCATGGTTAAATGAGTGTCCTAAATTTACTTTCTGATTATGTTCTTTGCAGACCATTACCATGCTGCGTTTTGGACAATGCGAAAGAGAAAAACTTCAACATAGCATGCAAGGGATGATACGCGTTCCTTTATTACATACTCTAGGTTATATTTTCATTTGGATTTTCTATCTATAAACATGAGTTTTTCTGATATTAACATACTCTCAGGTTAGTTTGGATTATTACAAAACGTAAACTGTCATTTTTACTACCACTTCTTGATAAATATAGATTTATGCAATCAGCTTTTATAACTGTTCTCCCTGTATAAAAGCAACCATGAATTAGAAGAAAACATTTTAGGGTTCAATATGAAATATAAATTTGTAGAGAAGAAATATGCAAGTTATCACTTGAGAAAATTTATGATTCTATTTTTTAAGATTAAATTATTTGTTTATTTGATCAGTGCATCTTAGTTGCTTATATCCCCTTTTTAATTATTATTTTTAAATATGATTGAAATTAGAAAAACGAGTAGAAGTATCGACAAAATGACGATCTGTTTTAATATTGAAAAACTCCTCTTGGAAAAAAAAACGGGGATGGAAAAATCATAGGGTGCCTTGAAATGTAACGAAGCTTAAATATAAGGATATGCCATTCGATGATCAGTTAGGCATGTGTTGATTTTAGTTACATAACAAACAAGTTGACATGAACTTTTATGGTAACTTTAGAGGGTCAATTTCCCTATTCATACTATATGAATATGGGTTTATTTATAATTAGTACCGGGCAGTGTTTCTTAAATTAGTATTTGAATTTTTTCTTCTCAAATTAGCATATGAACTTAAAAAGAATTCACAAATTGGTATTTGGATTTGAATTTTTTAATTGATACATGATGTTGATAGGGATGGACCAAGGAGTGGGGAGGGTAGTTGCTCTCCTTGAATATTTAATATCATATATTTCATTTTTTTCTATTGAGAACGTTTGTCTCCTAGAATTATAAGTTATTCATTTCTTAAAATTTAAAAATAACCCTCCTAATAGAATAGCGTCCCTCCCTAGATATTGATGTGATACAACAATTAATCAAATTATGACATTTAATTAAAACATCAGAATTGATAGATTTTTATAACTTCAATAACTTAATTGAGTGTTGAGAACACAGGTACCAACTTAAAAATAAGTAAGTTTATTTGCCAATTTGAGAAAATAAAAAAAAAGGTAAGTATCAATTTTAGAATAATTATCAAGTTTGTATATCAAATTATAGAATAAATTTAAGTAATAAAACCAATTCTATATCAACTGGTACTTGATCTAGTGAATAAGATGTTAAGCCGCTTAAGGTTTCGTTTGGTGTGACTTACTAGAAGTACTTTTAGTTAAAAATTCGTTTTGACATCAAAATCAATGTTAAGCGGGTAAAAAAAATTCGGTGGAAACAGTGGTTTTAAACCAACAGTAAAACCTATGATTTTTAGCTTTTTTATTTTTAACTTTGCGTTTAAAAATAAATTATAATTTTATCATTACTAAAACATGAGTTTTACTCAATTATGTATTTATATTTTATTTTAATAATTTAATACTAACATTCTTAAAAACTAATTTATTACTTAATAATTTATTTTAATTAATTAAAAGTAAATAAATTTATGGTTTATATCAAAATATTAATAGTGAGTTATATAAAAATATCTTATTATATTTTTTATTTTTATTATAGTTTAAATTGATATTATAAAATAATGCCCTTTTGTTGAATTTATTTATAATATATATATATTTTATTTTTGAATGGTTAAAATGATAAATATATCATTTACATTATGTTATTTTAAATTTTAAATGACTGTGGTTGAATTGGAATAATTAAACACTCCATCTCCTTACAAAATAAAATTAATGAGATATATCTTAGTTTCTAGTTTAAAATTTACTTTAATTTACAAGAACAATTTTTTTGTAATATTTTTTATCAAAATAAGTATTTAAATATTATTTCGTATAATTATATTCCCATGTTAAAAAATATTTAGAATAAGTTTTTATTTTTATTTTTTAACATTTAGAGCAGATTAATATCTTTTACATGGATGATAAACCGAAAAAATATCTGCTACAACATCCAACGATGCCGAAGACAAATTAGATCTGAAACAAGCTTCATAGTTTTGGTTGTTATAGTTAACTTAGATAAATTGATAGCATATGGGACTGGTCTTCATAGCAATTACATTTTCATGAGCAAAATGTAACTGCTCATTAAGCAAATATAGGGCACAAAATGGGATTTAGACAAAAAAAAAGTTCAAAGAATTTAATTGGGTTGGTCAGTTCCAAACAAAAGAGACAGAGTTTGGGAACAACCCAAGTTTCATTATCAAAGCAGTTTTGTTTTTTCTGTCGCGGACTCTGCTGCTAGAGCTACTGCTGCAACCGCCATCACCGTCGTAACAACAACGTCGAATGGACACTGTTTTCGCTCGTAACCGAAGGGGAAAATGATTAGTGAAGAGAGAATCCTAGGTGGAGCTCCATGCATGGAAAACAACAAAAAACGCAAGGATTTGATCCAAATAAAGTACTTTAAACAGAAGGAAATGGGAAGAAATCTGGTTAATTGAGTAGGGAGAGTATTTAAAGTGAGATTGGGACATGTATCAGACATAGGGTAACATCTGGTGACATGGTTTGTTCAAGGACGGCAATCTTGACAGACACGTGGGGAAAAGTCAAAAGAAGCGTAACCAACCAAACCAATCACACACAAACGTCTTCATTAGCATGGATATTATACTCAACAATTCTCCCTTTTCCTTTTCGTCACGTTATAAATGTTTTATATATTCATACAATATTTAGGATTCCTCTTTATTTTAAGACAAGATAATATGTCAAGAAGGAACCAAACAACGAGTTCAATAAGAAATAAAAAAAAAACCTTGAAAATTTTAACAACAGTGTTTAGTTTATCAAAGGTAGGGTCAGTAAAATAAACGAGGTAAAACACATAAATGATTTCTTGATTATATGGTTTTGTTTTTTGAATATCTAATTATTAAAAAGTTATAAAACGATTATCTTGATTATAGGAGGTTGTTTTGTTAAGTTTCTATACTATTAAAAATTACAGACTAGTCACTTAATTATTCATATATTTCAAGCTGTCATTTTTCTTAAAAAAAATTGACGGTCTTCTGAGTTGGACGTTTATATATTGACTGAGATATGATATCATTTGAAATTATAAGATCAAATTTTATCATATCTCAATCAATAAACTAACGTTCAGCTCATACTTCAATTTTTAACGAAAAAAGACGAATTTGAAACATATAACTAATCAAATGAACACTTTATAACTTTTAATAGTTGAGAGACTCAATAAAGTAACGTTCTATAGTCAGAAGATTATTTTATAACTTTTAATAATTGAGATATTCAACAAAATAATGACATATAATCAAGAGATCATTTTATAACTTCTAATAGTGCGTGAACTCAATATATAACGCGTTAATGTTGATGTCTAAACTACTTGGACAACCTTGGACCCCAACTGCCACGCGGTGAGGGCCGCCGACCTGCTTTCGCAAAACAAAAGAAAACCTGGCTTTATAGGAAACCTCCATATATTGTTCCTCTATCTCTCTATATATACATCTTCATCGTTTCATCAATATCCAGTTCTTCTTCTTCTTTTCTAGGCATTGATATTACTCCACCCATAATCTCCTTTCAGCTTAAAAATTCAAGGATGAATAATCACAACTAGCCTTCAGCAGGTCTGCTCTCCTCCTTCAAAGTTATATTATGAAAAAAAAACCCAACATAATATTAACACGGTTTAGTATTATTGAATGATTCAACAGCTGCATATCCACCACCGCCGACATCCAGGATGCCGGAACCCTACGTGACGGCACCACCAGTGGTTATCCGATGAGTAAAGACGAGTCCCAAGCCTGGTGCGGTGGAACCAAGTCCAGAGGATGGATTCTGGAAGGGATGGTAAGTATGAAGAATAATCTTCTTTTCTTTCCTTCCATTTGCGAATCTGTGAATGATACAGGTAAATATTGATGAAAATGTGTGGATTTGCAGTTGTGCAGCCCTGTGTTGCTGTTGTCTTCTGGATGCAGCTTTTGAAGCGTTCTTGTATGATATCAACACTTTTGTTTGTTTGAGAATATAGTTGGATCGATTGTTTGATGATGGGAATGCATGCTTTTGAAGCGTTCTTGTATGATATCAACACTTTGATTTGTTGTAGAGAATATAGTTGGATCGATTGTTTGATGATGGGAACTGTAGCCTTTGGTTCCCTTTCTCATTGTTTTTGTATAAATCGGACGTTTTATTGCCATTCACTTGTGTTTGAATAAAATTATTATTATTATTTCAATGGTAGCTGTTTTGTACCACAATCCCTTTGATTTTTTTTTGGTAAAGTATGATTCTTCCACGCAGGGGCGGCCTAGGCCAGTGCCCCCGGCACCTTACTCCTAGAAAGGGTAAACTATTACTAAATCACCAATTTATTATTTAGTCTCTGATTTGATTGTTCAAATTATCTATTTTAAATCACACTTAATGTTACAATTCGATGTTTTGATCTCTCGTCTTTAAGAAATTAACATTAATGTTAATATCATCATAAATAATATCAAGTTATGACTGGAAATAATTAAAAAAATATATTAAATCATTATAATTTTTTTATCGGTAAATGATCAATATATATATATTATTTTTAGATAAAAATTTTATTATATTATGTTGATTCAACCTATAAAATTTTCTAGATTCGTCACAAATCTAGTTCTATTTCAAAAAGCTCCTAAGCATCTAAAAAAAATAAAATTTTTTTTAAAAGATTAGTGAAAGCAGTTGAAGGATGAAAGGCATTGACAATTTGTCAAGTGAGATCGGATCCAACTCATCTTATCTTATCCTATCCATTGCCCATGACACCAAACGTTTTAATATTTCAACAATTATTTTTGGACCATTTCTCTGAAACTAAAATCCCTTTTTAAAAAAATATATTCGTATTAACTAATTTTAATAAATAATTACTACTACAATTTTCCTGAATAATGCAAAAAAATTTCAATACCGCTAAGTGCACATTTAATACATTAAGTGAACTCAGACTTAGTCAATAATTATAGTCGATAATTATGTGATATTTGATTCAGAAATATAAAATTAGATTATGAATAAGATTACAAAATATAAAATTACTAAATAGATTATAAGTCTACACTACTTGATTTGATTAATTTAATAGAAATTTTAAGTTATAGAGTTTAATTTTGACAAATATAAAAATTAATTAAAAGTATATCTCATTAAAAATGCAATTGTTACAAGATTTTTTTCTTTAATAAGAATTTTGTTTTAATATTTTGATATATTTAAAATTATAAAAAAATATTTTTTCAATAAATAAAAATAATATATTTTAAAATTTTGAGTAAATAAATAAAACATATTTCATTATCATCTATTATTTATCCAAATCCAAAACAAAATCCATCACACGTATATGTTCTAAATGCTCTAAATCATTTGACAATAACACTTAATCACTACAGTAGCTGGTGTCGAACTATGACTTCTAAGAATAACAATGATTCCTTCATCACTGAAGTAAATTGTTTCGTGCATAAATTATAAATATGCTTATTCATATATTTTCTTTTAATATCAAATTTTAGTTATCAATAGCAAAAATATCCTATTGGTTTGATATCTGTCCAGATATTTTCCTCATTGATTTTTATTAATACGAGATAAGTACAATATAGTATATTTTTAAAGATAACTCTAAATCATTTGATATTGAACACTCATACCTTAGCATTTATGGCATTCGAACCCGAGAACTTCGAAAAATAACAACTCTTTTACCACTGAGATCGATTGATCCATATTATTACATCCGTTGATTTTAAATAACGCAAACATGTGAAATTTTATGTATTATCTTAATAACTTGTGCTTTATATTTAAGTCATCTGAATTTAAATTACCAAGATACAAATTTAAAATGTTGGAATGGTCCAAAAATAATGGAGGTCTACTCAATTAAGACCCAAACTTACATGAAAAAAGCCCACTAATATCCATTAATTTTCTAAAAGGCTTTAGGGTCTAGTATATTCCCTCATTTTCAAGTGGATCAATTTCGCCTATCAGATTCAGAGCCGCTGCACCCGCATTCGCCATGGTTAAGTTTCTTAACCCAACAAGGCAGTCATCACCCTCCTAGGTTGGATACGCCGGCGCAAAGCCGTGATCATGAAATCGTTCGACGATGGCACACGTGACCGCCATTACGTCTACTGTTTTGCAGGGATAAAGAAGTACCCGAGCAAGGTCATCCGCAAGGACTCCTCCAAGAAACGGCCAAGAAGTCGATCGTCAAGTACTTCGCCTGATGCCCACGCGCTACACCCTGGACGTGGACCTGAAAGACGCGGTTACCGCCGATGCCCTTCAGACCAAGGACAAGAAGGTGGCCGCTTGTAAGACCACCAAGGAGCGGTTTCAAGAGAGGTTCAGACTGGAAAGAACAGGTGATTCTTAGCAAGCTTGTTTTGGAGCTTTTCCTAGTGCCTTAAAATTTTGGATTTCGTGGAAGGATTCGAATCTGTATCTGGGTTATTATGTTTTTAATATGACTTCTGTTAGAAATTCATGTTCCCCCCCTGAATTTTTATAGTGTGATATTATACGCATATTTGTTTTACTGGTCTTCAGAAAGTGAGAATTGTTGGAATATCTCAATTTTATGTTATCATCGCTGCATTCTTGGATCCTAGGCGTGCAGCGTGCTGCGATAAAACTTGCATGCCTTCCTTATCATCGTCCTAATGGATCAACCATTCATAGTTCATACAAGTTTGTAAATGATTGAAGCCTCTTGGAGAATGCTCAAATCACTCGGTGAATTCAAATTGATTTTTCTGCTTCTCAAGAATGACAACGAAGGCTCAAAATAGCCAAATTGGATAACTCAAGATAACCAAGAGCCGAAAGAACAAAAGAATTTTGGAAGAATTTTGTTAAAATCTGAAGATTTTTCTTCACCTTAAACAGACGACTATGCAAGAAAGTACTAATCAAAGTCACAAAAATACTGTGTGAATTTGGGACTGCATCATATTCAGAACCTTTTGTACAAAAATTTTAACCAATTAATTAGTATCTAGTGGATCCATGAAATCATTTTTTATAATTAGTTACTACTCGATGAACCCATAAAATTAATTTAAGAGACTTTCAAATTCTATAGATAATTATTATAATTTTATTTTTTAAAAAATATAATTAAATACTATTTAAATGATAATCGATAACTGAAAAGAAGAAGAAGAAGGAATTTTCATCTTAATCTTGTTTCCCCAAAGGGGAAAAGTGTATCTTCGTTGGCCTGGGAGATAACCAGACCAATTTAGCCGGTCTGACTCCGATCAATCGCCATTAACCTCTGAACAGTTATAATCACAACACATTTACGATCTCCTTGATCCAAAAACTTCTTTAAAACCAAAACTCTGTTAGATCTTCCGTTGAAACCTCACCCTCAAACCCCGAACCAATTTGGGTCAACGCAACCGGTTCACTTCGTTCATATAATCAGATGAACCACGAATTCCAGAAAAAAAACCCCAGTAAGTTCCGCTAATTCTTGCCAAAATTTACTGTTCTGATTAAAGGGTATGTGTTATTTTTTTAAATGCTGAAAAAGGGGTTTGTTTAAATGGAGTTGAATTTGGTGTCGGTAGAGACTCATTTTCACCTAGAGTTATTTTATTATTATTATTATTATTATATATATATATATATATATATATATATATATAATTTGTGAAAATATTTTTGACAAATATAATATATAATTTCAGAAAACGACTTTCAAAAATTTATATTTTATATTTTGAAATATTTTAAAATATAATGTATAATTTTGAAAAATTTTGAAAACATTATATATTGTAGTTTTTAAAACATTTTGAAAACTTATTAATATATAGTTTTTAAAACATTTTTAAAAATAATATATGATTTTAAAATATTTTTGAAAAATATATAATAATAATTTAAAATATTTTTTTTGAAAATTTATAAATATAGTTTTAAAACATTTTTGAAAGTATATATATAGTTTTAAAAACATTTTTAAAACTCATAATATTTTATCATTTTTGAAAACTATATAATATAGTTTTGGAAAATTTTAGAAAATAATATAAAGTTCAAAAAATGTTTTTTGAAATGTATATAGTATATAGTATATATTATTGGTATTATTATATTATTTCTTTTTTATTTTATTTATTATTTACTTTTCGTTTTTTTTATCTCATTTTGTCTAGGGTCATCAAGGTCCAAAGGGCAGTCCAAGTCACGGTTCAGAATAGGGCTTGACCCAGCCCATATTCGATACCTAAGGTTAGGGTTTTAATGTTACAACGACGTATGGATCAAGTCAAGAAAGATACCAGAACCCTCAACGGCTTCACAATTCAGGGGGTAACCAAGGGTCAAAGCACGAAACAGTTTCCGGCCGACATCCCCATGACTGAATCATCCCGGGGAACTCGGTCAAGAAACAACCCACGACGTTCCCGAAGATCTCAGAACAACCCGTACATCTCGGGGCTAGAAATGGCCAGAACCAAGCTATAAAAACGGTGAGACAACCACACCGGGGGGGTCGAGCAAAACCATCCAACACAGTTCCCACAGTGAATACCGAGAGAGCATCAACGACAGTAAACCGAGGCATCAGCGAGAGCCACGACCACCAGACACGAGTAAACAAACAGTCGACCAACAAACCAACGAGCCTCACAACAGTATACCGAGATAACAATACCCACGATAGTACACAACAGAAACACAGAACAACCGAAACACAAAAAACCCACGGTGACTCTCTACGCAGAAAATCGAAATATCAGCAGAGGGCCAAAACACAAACAACCAACGGTCCCAAAAATAAAACAGTAAGACCGAAAAAAACACAACTACTACCATATCAAAAAACAGAACCTACGACAACAAAAAAAATCAGCAGAACGTAAACCCACACAAGGTCAGCCAAGAAGCAAAACACGAAAGCGAGAACGCCGAAGAACCGAGGAGTCACCGTCGACGAAGGTAAAGAGTCAAAACTT